ATGATACGGAACCCTCGAAAACGATGGTATATATTTAAAATCTAAGGAGATAACTCATTCGTTTATTGGCTAAAATATAATAAATGTAATAAAATAAATAGTATCTATTAGTAATTACATGTTATTAAAATAATAGATTTTATATCATTAAATATAAATATTATGACGATTGAAAACAACATGGATTTTATTTAACTTTACAGTAAACGGTATCACGATATATTATTATGTTATATATATTTAACCAATGGAAGCACTGTAATCCAATTCTCTACTATATAAACACCACGCCGGTCTAAATCTGTATCATTCAGGATTCAAACGTATCGCAGTACAGTCGTTCAAACGAATTTACAAACATGAGCGGAAGAGGTAAAGCTGGAAAATCGAAGGGAGGTAAATCCAAGACCAGGTCGTCACGTGCCGGACTCCAGTTTCCGGTCGGTCGTATCCACCGTCTGTTGAGAAAAGGAAACTATGCCGAACGCGTCGGAGCCGGAGCACCCGTTTACTTGGCCGCCGTCATGGAATATTTGGCGGCTGAAGTCTTGGAATTGGCCGGTAACGCTGCCCGTGACAACAAGAAGTCTCGTATCATTCCCAGACACTTGCAATTGGCCATCAGGAACGACGAGGAGTTGAACAAATTGTTGTCCGGTGTTACCATCGCTCAAGGCGGTGTGTTGCCCAACATCCAAGCGGTACTATTGCCAAAAAAGACCGAAAAAAAAGTCTAAAACTTCAATTACTAAATTTATCAGAAAAAGGTCCTTTTCAGGACCCCTAAACATTTTCTTATAACTACTTCATCATACTACTTAGTGCCTATTGCTTTTCAATATTCATAACTTCTGTTTCAATGGTATATCTAGTATGTTATCTAGAACGTTTTTCATTGAATGTGCCTTGAGCCTTCCCTTGTCACTAGCACGCTCTACTACATATTATATATTATGAATTTGCACAGGTTGACTAAATAACCAACACCGGCACTTGTTTAACACAACTTGCTAAATATAAGAGATAACAAGGCGTTTCTAAAATCTGAGGTAATTGGTATTTGGTGCAAACATGTGTCACTTCACACAACTAACGTTAAAATAATTAAGAAATAGAAATAATAAAAATATGTAAAATAATATTTTTTTATAAATAATTGATTATGATTTTATTTACTACCGTATCAATTCAAAATAAAATATGGTGAGTAGGATAACGATTTTACGGCTTATAGATGATGTACATATCGAAGAAAATTTTATTATAATTGTATGCTGAGGAATTTTACGAGATTTTTTCAACACTATTTTTTCGTTGAACGAGATATTGAAATAGTTTTTCTCAATAATTAGTTCTATAATGTACGAATTATTGCAGACATATTTTTTTATGCATCGTCATCATATTACTATTATTATATTAGTTATTAGTATTCCGTCACACTTTTTGCGATTCTAAACCAATATGCCAATGAAATACAAATAAATGATCAAAAAAATAATTATCTATAGTTACGTTTCAATTATTTTCATGAAATCGTACAATTTTTCCGAAAAGTCCTAGTTTTTTCTTCAGAAAACCATTTTTATCTCTGAATATATGCATAGGAGTAACAAAATTAATTTTTTTTTTTTGGACAAAAAAGTTAAATTATAACTGAACTTAAAAAAATAACTCATTACTTATTAGTTATTAACGTTAAGTATAATAAAATTAAAAATTATGGTATAATTTATAATAGCTATTGATGTTGTTGCAGTAAAATTTATTTGATAAAAAAAAACAATCTTTTCATACCTCGTTTGCACCGGATACAATATCTCTAAACTCTGATAGAATTTTTAGGATCAATAACCAATTACGCGTGGACATATTTGGTTTTTGTGCACAATGAAAAATAAAAATGTATGATATATAATGTTTATATGGTTATTACTTATGAACCTAATTATTACGACTAAAGAAAAAAAAAAGTAATAATAAAAAAGGTTTCTTAACTATATCTCTCGTAGTAATGATTGAACGTATTTCATTGTTATGCCAATCAGAACATTTTTGCATTAAAAACGGATTTTTGAAAAATCAGGTCTTATCCGGTTAGTGAACTAATGCTATTTGCCACCTTCAATTTTATACTGATTCTAAAATTATTCCACTGAAAAATAATGCATTTCAAATGTCATATAATAAATCTGTAACTGAAAGGCAGAAGGGACTAAGACCATTTTTATCATACATGGGGTTATATTATTTTCTTATATGAAATTTCAACGCGTCTTTTTAACAACCATAATTTTAATCCCAAACCATGTAAACCATGAATTATTATTATTTTTATTTTTATTTTACTCTCAATGACGGCTCTTATACGTTATTGATTGTGTTTTAATTGTCATCTACTATTATTATTATTGCTTTCATTAAACTACTACATAATATAGTATAAACATTTTAAAATCAAACTGTGTATTTATAATCTTATTTTATATTTAATAAAACAATTTTTTTTTTTTTTAATATAGGTAGATTGTGTAATAAAAAATATATTATTTAATATGCAATAACAATAACCAATAGATAATAATTATTAATTTTTTCATGCAAATTTTGCCTTTTTTAGCTCCTATAACTTCCTAACCCTAATTATGAATAATTAATAAACTCACATTGTACGACGACTGTAGTTAATAATTAATAATTTTTGCTTTACGGATTTTTTCCGTTATTTAGTTTAAATAGTTATAGGCATACGTATAACAGAGAAAAATTAGGGTTTATTATTATTTTTCCTAAATCATAATAGATAACATTTTATTACAAATATATTGTGATATACCTAATATAATAAACAACACCTATAGGCCATAAATTATTTACCATATTTTATTTTGAATTGGTACAGTAATAAACAATTATTTGTAAAACAATATTATTTTACATATTATTATTATTATTTCTATTTTTCAATTATTTTAACAAAAGCTGTGCGAAGTGACACAAGTTTATTACAAGTATCTAATATTTTAGAAAGGCCTTGTTGTCTCTAATATTTGGTAAGTTGTGTTAAGTATAACAGCAGTGCCGGCACTAATCATTTGGTCGCCGTCCTGTGCAAATTCATATATTTATTTGTAGTAGTCTTTGGATATCACAATGGTATAAGAAAAAATTTGCACGATTGATAGACAGGACTCGTGGTGCCACGAAACAGCCTCACAAATCGTAAACAACTTATTCTCGACGGTGGGCACAACAACTAGTAATTATCCGTCAGATTGTATGTCACGCATGAGAAACAAACTTACAACCGAAAATAATGAATGTTATAAACGTTAATATTGAGTAAAAAAATAAAATAATTAACTATTAACTGGGTAATGATGCTACAAAAACGTATATATAAAAAACCATACGCAAACATAAAGAAGGTTTGGTGGCCCTGAAAAGGGCCCTTTTATGGTTGTTTTAAAAACTAACTAATGTGTCAAAATTATTTAGAGCTAGTGTATTTAGTGACGGCTTTAGTTCCTTCACTGACGGCGTGCTTGGCCAATTCACCGGGCAACAGAAGTCGGACGGCAGTTTGGATTTCCCGGCTGGTAATGGTAGAACGCTTGTTGTAGTGAGCCAATCGGCTGGATTCGGCGGCGATGCGTTCGAACAGATCGTTGACGAAGCTGTTCATGATGCTCATGGCCTTTGAGGAGACGCCGGTGTCGGGGTGTACTTGTTTCAACACTTTGTAGATGTAAATAGCGTACGATTCTTTCCTCTTGGGCTTGCGTTTCTTGTCGGACTTGGCGATGTTCTTCTGTGCCTTGCCGGACGATTTCTTCATCGCTTTTCCTGCGGATTTACCACCTGGAGCCATGATTGATGGATTTATTTGATGTGAACTGGTAGTTTACAATTGTACACTTGAAATATGAATGATACGGAACCTTGCATTGCTTATATAACGGCGATGAGCCTATATACTCGTTCCAGGCGTTTGCCTATGACGAGTTGATTAATATGCGGTGAATTATTTTGTTAGTTAGAGTTACACCATAAGAGCGGGCAAGGCTTGGTGGATTTTGAGGTTGGGTCGGAAGCTATGGTGGATTGTCCGAGACTGCGGATGTGGGCGAAAGTTGAGTATGAGTTTCGGTGAAATAGGTTCTTACTGTTGGTTATTATTGATTGTTTGATGGTGGAGGTACGTGTTGAAGAGAGAATTATTTTATTTGTTACAAACCATGGGGAGGAGGTAATAGTACGGAGGCCGATGTTTTGGACAGCTTCGAGTTTGTGCCAATTTGCTTTAGATATTAGTGGTCCCCACGCCGGACCGGCGTAAGATAGGATGGGTTTAATATACAGTTGTAGTATATTAAGTTTTGTTTTGATGGGGATGGGGCTGGAGCGGTTGAGGACCGGATAGAGCATGCCGCGGACGGCGGTGGCTTTCTTGACAGTTGATTTAATATGCGCTGAGAACGTGAGATTTCGATCGATGGTTACGCCAAGGTATTTTGATGTAGGAGACCAGGGGATTTGGTGACCGTTTAGGTTCAGGTGATGTGAAGCGAAATTATTGGGACCGTTGAACATGACCGCAACCGTTTTTTGAGCATTGATGTTGAGACGCCATTTGTCGTACCAGGTTAGTGTTATGTTTAGTTGTTTTTGTAATTGAATGGCTGCTCTTTTGGGGTTTTTGTTTGAGGCGGTGAACATAGTGTCGTCGGCGAATAGGTAAAGCCGGGCGTTTTGGTTGAGGGGGACGTCGTTAGTGTAAGCTAGATATAGTGTTGGCGAAAGACAGGAGCCTTGAGGTACACCTGAATATACCGGCCTGCTGCTAGATAAGGTGGTGTTTAATCTTACAGAGAATGTGCGGTCAGTCAGGAATGATTTTATTATATTTAACAGTGGGGTAGGGGTGCCCAAGATATGAAGCTTGTACAGTAATCCCGAGTGCCAAACACGATCGAATGCTTTTTCGATATCAAGGAAGACGGCGGCTGTGCGCAGATTGTTGTTTGAATTTGTTACCAATTGGTCGATTAGACCGACAAGCTGGTGGGTTGTTGAATGTTGTGGACGAAAAGCGAATTGTTCGTTTCTAATTTTGGAACCAATCGCAACATTAAGTTTCGCCAAAACAACCCGTTCAAATATTTTTGAGAGGGAGGATAATAGTGCGATAGGGCGGTAGTTGACTGGATGTTGGTGGTCCTTCCCTGGTTTGGGGATAGTTATGACGATTGCATGCTTCCAAGCTGTTGGGAAATACCCAATACGTAAACAACCGTTAAGTATGTGAGTGAGAAACAAAACTGACTTCCGGGGTAGGAGTTTGGTGGCTATATTAGTGATGGAGTCTGCGCCAGGTGCTTTGCGTTTTGAGATTCGATTGATTATTTGTTGGACGGTACCAGGTGATGTGTGACAGGTAGTTTGTGTGGATGACCGAAGAGAATGAATGAAGGAGTTTATTTCTGGTATGTCTGGGCCCGTTGTAGGCTTGAATTGGCGTTCATATGTGTCAGCAAATAATTCGACCTTTTCTTCATCCTTGTACGTAAGTCCGTTTGGGCCAATTAGCGGGTGGACCGCAGGGGTTTTGTTCAGGAGTTTCTTATTTAGCTTGTGAATCGAACCGTCTTTGGCGTCCAGGGTATCGAGGAAGTGATCCCATTCATCGGCACGGTGAGTTTTAAGGATGAGACGTATAAATTTTATTTTGCAGTTCAGACGGCGTTTGACTAATGGATCACGGAAACGTTGCCATTCGCGGCGTAGACGGTTTTTGATTTCGATTTCCTTAATGATTTCGGGAGGTAGAGCGCTTTTGAATGTCCTATTGTTTTTTGTGTACGTGCTGTCGTTAATAGCAGTTACAATGTTCGAAGTGAAATGGTCGAGCGCTGCATCAATGTCCTGGGGAGTTCTGATTGGCTGGTTCATCGACGGAGAAAGAGAATCAGTTATGGCTATATATTTGGTCCAGTTAACGCATCTTGAGTTTTGTGGTGGTGAGGAGGTGATTGGAGAGTCGGAGAGCATAAGTAGTACTGGATTGTGGTCGGAGGAAAGTTCATTTAGGTTTGTTACAGCGTAGGAAAGTTGTGGGAGACGGATTAGCGCTATATCTAAGACGTCCGGTCTGTGACCAATGGTAGCTGGGTAGAACGTTGGTGTGTCCGGGGCTGTGACGACGTAGTCGTCGTTTAGTGCGTGGTTATATAATATAGTGCCGGCGGCGTTTGAGCAACGACTGTGCCAGAGTGGGTGTTTGGCGTTTAGGTCGCCTGCCACAATAAACCAATGGTTGCCGTTTGTCAGCGCATTTAGGTCGTCGGTTTTCATTGGTTTGTTCGGGCTTTTGTATACGGCGGAGATTTGTATTAGGTAGTTGCCCATAGATATTTCGACGGTGGTTGAGGACATTGTAGTCGGTATAATAATGTGCCTGTGTACTATTCTGCGGTGGACTAGTGCGGCGGTGCCACCACAGGCTTGACCACGTAAGCCTGAGATGTTATCAGTACGATAGACATGGTAGTTACGGAGTTTGAGTTGGTTGATGGGTTTTAGTTTGGTTTCATTTAATAGTGCGATATCTACATTGGTTTTAGTCATGAGCGTGTACAATTCATTAATTTTGGATTTGATGCCGTTTGAATTCCAGTATAGAATTCTTAGGTCATTCATAACTATTTTTTAAGAGAGATAGGAATGAGCTTATTGTGATGGAGATGATTGCTCTTGGATCATCTGTTGTTGATATGGTTGATAAGAGTTCGGTTAGGAGAATGATAACTTTGTCGGTATTGATCACGGGTTTGTTTTTGGTTGCATTGGCGTAGTTGACATGTTGAGTGGTGGGATTTCCGGGCAGGGGTTTAGTTGGATGGTTTTGGGGTAATGTTGGAGGATAAGTAGCTTTGTTTGGTGACGGATTGTTTAGTGTGGATGGTTTAGGTGTGAAATTTTTAGCGATCTCAGAGTATGATGGACAACCTCGAAAGTTTGCTGTATGAGCGCCATTGCAGTTGGCACAAGTCGGGGCCTGATCGCGAGGTTTGGTACAAACATTTGTTCTGTGCGGGCCGGCACATTTGACGCAACGAGGAGTGTTACCGCAGTTTTTTGACCCATGTCCGAATTTTTGGCAAGAGTGGCATTGAGAAGGCCCGGATTTCTTGTACGACTCGACAGAGATTTTTAAATAAAATAATTCGGATAGTTCATAAATGTTTTTGGCTTGGGTGCCGGATAGTATGACGAGGCAGATGGGCATTGGTTTGTCTACTGGCCCAAAGCGTCTTATAAGCTGCACATCGAAGTTACGGGCAACCAATTCAGTTTTGAGTTCTTCATCAGAAATATCCGTAGGAATACCTTTGATTACTACTTTTAGCTGGCGGTCAGCAGATAGGGAGAAGGTGTGAAATTCGATTTTGTTAACAAGCATAAGTTTTTGGATTTGTCGGAATTGAGCAGCACATGAGGTTTTGACGAATATTTTACCATCGGAGGAGGATTTTGCATTAATGCCAATAGGGGAGATGTCTTGGTTTTGGAAAATGAGTGGTGCTGCTTGGCGCCACAGGGACGCAGTAATAATGATAGGCGGTGGTAGCAAGGTTTTCGATACACTTGCAACGGAGGGGTCAGGTGATTTTGTTGTATTACTAATATTGTTTGACCTATCTGGAGAGAGATTGGATGGAGGCTCTGGCGGGCCTGTGACTGAGATGTCGGTGGCTGATTGAGAGCTATCCGATGAGACGTAAGAATCGCCTGACAGCGATTCTGAGTCGGATGGATCAGGCGAAGGCGGTTGTGGACGCTGTGGAGGTGGTGGGGAAGCCTGATTTCGGATCTTCTTCGGTTCGGTGAGTGGAGGAGTTCGATTCCTTTTTGAACCGGCTCTGCGGCCGCCCATGATGTAGAGTTCGTGATATTCCTCTGTAGGGAGTGCTGATACTAGACGTCTGTACGGAAGGAACACTAGGAGGTGA